GCCTATACAAATAATAATCAATAGGGAACAATCATATTTTTCAAAGTATTTATTTTCTTATTGCTTATGTTTTCAAATATAAAATGTATATGTTTTTTTTTTGTTTTATGTCCTCATTGAAATAAAAAAATTATTTTGAATTTCAAATTATTTTCGTTGGCGCGAAAACGATTAGCTTCAAGATGGTGGCATTTGTGACGTCAACTGTCTGTAAACACAACGTTAAGGTCTGTTCTCACAAGAGCCTTTGACACTTTGAAAACTGTCAGAAAAAATCGCCTAGCGAACCTTCGACTGCATTGGAACTTGAAAGCGGTTATTTATGAGGTATTTCCGTATTTAGTGCCATATTGTGACATCTTGTAATTCAAATAGTTCATCATGGTTGATACAGGATTTACAAAAGCGCAGTCTGACAATCTTCCCTCAATATACCCGTTTATGGTAGTTCAATATTAGTCGTGGCGTGACGTGAGCTGATCGTGGACCAATCGTTCCACGATTCAAGAGAGAACCACGAAAGTGTGGACCGTGGATTTACGATCAGTGTAAACTACCCTTAACCTCAAATTACGAACAGTTGACGTCACTGGAAGCGGCCATATTAAACGTAACTTTTCCGCGCGAAACTTTTCAATCTAAAACTAATAATTGCCATATGACTATAATATCCATAAATTTAATACAAAACTGCTCATATTCAATATTTCACACAAAAATGTGCACCATAAAAACAAAATAAGCCATATTTATTTCTTATGAAAATTCCCTATTGTCGAGGTAGAAAATATTAAAATATAATGGGTGAAACATAATACCTTTTTGTAATATCTCCCATTTCTGATGCAGTTTTTGTTGTTGATCCACCAGAATCCTTATTTTTTGTATGTTGCTAAACCCTGCTAACAAAAAAATAATAATAATTTTTGATTTATTATATCTAGTAATCAAAAATGGTACTCCAATACTTTTTAATAGATTAATAAAGATATGTCATCAAGGATACCTTTTTATGATTTCCTTCACTGGGCTGCTTGAGGGGCCTGCCATATTTCTGTCAGACTGCAAAGTAATGATTTCAGACCCACTGGGCTGCTCCACGAGAGTTTCAAAATTATCATCCAAAGGTCTGAAAATAATAATGTAAGATGAAAAAACGCACCTAGCAGAAAGGCCTGGAAATACTCCTTGAACTGTTCTATATCACATCAAACTTACTTTGAATAGAAGAGATTTCCTGGGTTTCTGTCAGGTGACTCAACAAGGGTAGAGTCCGAACTGAAAAATAATAATAATAATAATTTGAGAACAAGCTGAGAGAAAAAGTGACAAAAAAAATATGATCCATGAATTCATAATATACACTAAAGATGTTTAAGGAAAATAAATACTGTATGTTAGTTCAACCTTAGGTACCTAAAAGATGATGGATCTTTGAACGCAGCAAGCCTGGGTTCAGCATCTGGCTTTCCTTTTTTTTCCAGTCAGGCTTAATGTTGTCCAGATTTACAGGAAAACTACAACAAAAATTATAATAGAACCCAGTAATAGTGTATAAAGTCAAAGTTTATAAAGTTCAAGCTCACAAGCAGCTCTGTTTTCAAAAAAGACCAGCACCGGTGAGCCAAACATCATGCTATCTGGAAGTGCTGTCACATTACAGAGTCAGTTGAACATCTTGGGGGTTACTGCAGAGACCAAAATGTCTTGGCACAGTCACGTGGCAGATATTGCTAAAAGGGCCTCCGAAAAGCTGGGGGTGCTATTTCGTACAAGACATCTGTACACACCAAGCCAATTGCTGACACTCTACAAAGCCCAGATTCGACCAACTATGGAGTACTGCTCACATATATGGAGTGCAGCACCCAAACATACCTTAATGCTTTTGAATACCGTGCAAAAACGAGCTATCAAGCTGATCAATGACCCCGCACTTACTCGTAACTTGAATGGTCTCGAACATCGCAGATCTGTGGGCGATTTATCTCTCTTCTACAGGTACTATCACGGAAAATGCTCTGAAGAGTTGGCACGTATGATTCCACCGAGAGTAGCACCTACCAGGCGAACCCGTCAAACAGACGGTAACCATGAATTTACTGTCAAACTAGAGGCACCAAGAACCTCATTATATCAGAATTCATATCTCTGGAGAACAGCATCGCTGTGGAATAAACTCCCTGCGACGGTTTTCCCTGCAGGTTACAACCTGAACCGTTTCAAGACCAACATACACCGACATTTCCGCGCACTTGCCGCTTCTCGAGCGTGATAGGACATTTCCTTGCGAGTGCGCATATCCGTAAAAAAAAAAAAAAAAAAATTCTTACTTCTCAATGATGCGTAATTTTAAAAATTCAGAGTTGAAACCAATTCTCCATTAATCTACTTATCGCAAAACACTTCAAAATACGGTTAAATCCCCTTTTTAAGCCTAAACTCTTATATCCCCTTTTTAAGGTCTAAACTCTCTCAAATTAGTATTAACAACTCGATTAGCAATAATTCATTGTGCATTAAGCAATAAGCATTATGAATTATACACTATTATTGGCTAGCTAAACAGGGCTTAAAGTTGAATAAAACTATTGAGGAATATGTACCTATCGTGAGTACTTACCTACATATATTGATTCAGGAAAACTCAGATTATTGCTGTAATTTAATTTCTAGATCTCAAATAAAAAGTTTCCTCTGAATTTTTCTCAGAACGTAATAGAAGTTTTACAATAAATTACCATAAATACCCTCTAACTACGCCAATGGCGGCCAATGTCAAGAGTAAAATGATGTCAAATTTCTTACCGCCGAAATATCGAATTCTGCTTTGAATCCGTACAGATAATACATCGACGTACCATTGTTACTGTCTCCACCACACTTTCTATAGTTTTGAATCCAAAAATAACACTCAAAATCACAAAAAATCACAAAATTAGCTTGATCACTTTCCAGCAACACTGCCAAATCCCTAATGGATGCCAAAAGTCACATAAAATCATCTGATTGGCTGCTCGTAGATGCAACGTTGCCGATGTGCCGTTTTTCGAGCCATATATTCCTGGTTATTCCAGAATTTTCACCAATTTAAATTAAAAAAAGACTAATTATCTTTTTCAAAAAGGCGTTTAAGTTATGTTTCAACAAAGATTGATATAAAAAAACATTTATATTATGTTGAAACATATTTTGAAATAATGGATTATCCGTGAAAACATTTAATATTGAAAATCACATCGGATTATTGGCAAACGGGCATTTCATGCAAAAATCGACCTTATGGATGTTGGATCGCAAATTGTTTGTTTACTGTTGTATCTGTCGTTTTTAGTTGTTAATCTGAGGGTTATTCTAAGGTGCAGTTGGACACAAAATGTGCAGTAGGAAAAGTAAATTGTGCAGTGGAAAATTGAAATCTGTGTAGTTCTTTTTTCATGTATTACGAAGAAATAATTTAGTTGACATAATATTATGCTACATAATATGAGAATACAATAGCACTATCAATACATTACATTTTTTCTGTAACCGGAAAAAAGTAGACTTTTTGTACCTGTTGATAGGGGCAAAAATGTCACTTTTTCATCCATGAGAAAAAAATGATTTTTTTTCCCACGGGAAAAAAGTAACAGGTACCAGTCAATTTTATTTCCCGAGGGAAAAAAGTAACAGGTACCAGTCAAATTTTTTTCTCAAACGGATTAAAGTATAGATGGAAAATGGTGAAATTTTCCCGTCACAGAAAAAAATAGTGTATTATATATGGGAAAAAAGTAAGATTTTAGCGCTAAAATCTAGTACTTTTTTCCCTTGTATAATAAGTAACTGTTATTCTAAAATTTATTGCTAATTTTCCCCCAGCACTACCTAAAATTCTCCGTTTACCTCATCCGCATTGGCCTTAGCAAAAATATCTTTGCTAAACAGCAAAGATATTTTTGCCAAACGGCCTGTGCTGTTTCTTTGACTCTGTGCTGACGCTCATTTAACCAAACCATAGTGGCTTGTGAGGATCCCATGCTGACAGATAAGGCATATTGTGATAAATGTAAAAAAGGGCGTGGCACCCCTAAAAAATTTTCGTCTACGGCGCATTTTTTTAAAGAGTTCATAACCAAACTAGGATGTGGCAAAGTGACACATTCTTGACCGACGGTGTAAGTTGACACGCGAGGCGCAGCCGAGGCCGGCAACCACCGAAGGCCGAGAATGTACTTTTCCTCTGAAATACACATACTTTTTTTCTGCTGTTGCTCAGGAATTAAAAAAAATGAGGAATGCTTTTGTGATGTTGCTGGATCAGCATACTTTCCCGGCCTTTCCCGTACTGTTATCCGTTCATTCCTTAGTCCCTAATCACTTTCTCGGCCTAGAGGAAAAGTTATTCCTGTACTGTTATCCATTATCCATCGATTCCTTAGCAACCATTGAAAATACCAGAATTTCTTTGCGACCTGTCAACCGGTCAAAAATGATGATATTTCTTGTTAATCGCAGAAAACATATATTATGTGAATGTGTTCTTGTGATACATATCATGGTAATAGATACGATGATTTATTTCCTTTATGTGCAGTGGAAAAAAATCCTTAGAATAACCTCTGGAAAAAAGTGACAATGATGAAGTGACATTTATTTTGAAATTGCTCTTCAAATAGACTCAGGAAAAAATAATAATGATTTTGCAAAATTTCGGTTTTTTCCGAATATCTTCGAAAGTATTCGGAATTTTTCAAATTTCAAAACGGAATTTTATTGGTCATAAAATTGCGCAACTTTGCCATAATTCAACCAACATCGTATCTCTTACGGTTTCCGATATCCCCATGCATGCACTCCAATTATACTGCATCACAAAGCAAATGTTACCCAGTGCACTTAAAGTTATAATATGTTATTAAAAATGTTCAAAATTACATTTCATGATAGTTTCTTGTTTTTCTGTTAATTGTTTCTTGTTGCTTCTCTTCGTTTCAAAACAAATTTTTATTTTTCAGAAAAATGGATAAATATCACAGACACTGGTGGTTAGCATTTACATTGATAATGGCTGAAATAGCGGCTACATTTGGAACAGGAATGGGTAAGTTTATCTCGGTTTATAATATAACAATGTTAATTCTGCTCACTAAAAATACAGCTAATTTTTGTTTGTCTTTTTAAAAACCACAGTAAGACTGCTCTAAAGTAGGAAACGCAATCCCATTTCGCTTATTGGTTAAATAATAATTCATAAGCCATCAAAACGTCATAAACTCTACTTGCAATTGCCTGGCCTCGCCTTTACAGTAGATAAATTATTTTTATTAAAATCAATTCAACTATCCCCGCATTGTGTAATAAACAGCTAACTTCAATTTGCATTTCAATAATTACTTTTTGTCGGATTTGAATGCTTCTTGACAAATTTCCATAGAATTTGCATAGAAATGCAACAAATATAATGTCAGAATTACCTAGTTTTTCTTGAGGAAAGCATTCTGTCGTAATAAGTTTATACAGGATATTAATAATTTATTAAAAGTATAATGATAACGTTTAATGGAAATTTTCTTCGGTAAAAACACGATGAATGACTTTGAAATAAACAAACAACTTTGGGTGGAAGATTTACCTTAATTCACCCACAAAAACCACTTGAGTCATAATAACCAAAACGAACCCATTTGAACCATATTTAATGGGCTAATAAAAGTATACCTTACCAAATAAGAACCATCAGAGGTAGAATTATAGATAACAATGTAACAATATAGAAAATTTTTTAGCCTCGTGATATACAAATAATTTCCAATATGAAGAAAGTCAAGGAACATCTTTTCTTATGTTTCGCTTGAAATAGAGTAGATACAAGATTTAGTTGAATCTGAATAGTTTATGAATTTTATCAAAACAGTAAGTATATTTTATTCACAAGTATTATCCAGAAATAATATTTGGATTTGGATACAGTCGTTAGACAGCGTTGTTAAGAAACAGTGTTCACAAAAAAAAAAATGTATAAAATTTGACTCAGAAAATACTTAAAAAACAAAAAAACTCAGAAGTTCCGCCACTGGTTATTCAATCCAATCCACTTTGTTTTTAATGTTGAAAGAACACTCTGCGCTTCCCATTCAAACTTTCAAAGCCGATTAAAATATTCTCCATGGGACCTTTTTCGAAAACAAAAGAAAAGACATTAGCTTTATCTAAACAAACATCTAAACCGCTGAAATGGTCACAACATCTTCTTTAAGAGGCTCCGGCGGCACGTCAAAAAGGCAACATCTTTATTATAGAGAAATGGTTATAACGTGGCTAATGACTTGAGCGAACCGTTTGGGTATATCATGGTTTTATGAGGCGGAAAATTGCCAATTGAAAATATATAGATGCATTGTGATTGTGTGTATCAGTGGAAATTTTCTATAAGGGATTTTGATTACTGGTGCAGAAGTTCGTAAACAAACAAGAGGAAAACTTCTCATAGAGTGAATAGCGGAATAATCTCCAATTTAATGCATTCGAATAGAGTCGGAGCAACTTAGCAGGTTCTAATTTCAATATTCACAATTTTCTTAAAACTTATTTTCAAAATACATTACATTCATTTTGTGTTCCACGATACAAAATCTAAAAGTTTCTCGTTGCGAAGTGTTCATCTTGACAATATTAAAAGTAACAAACTTCAACCAAAATAATTAGTGACTATATTGTCTGATTTTTGCTAGGATTTCCGCATATTTTCAAAACTTCCTCTCTGCAATATTACGTGACAACTTTTCTTTTGTTACCCTAAGCAACTTCTGTCTCATGAAAAATTATTCCCAGCATCTTTGGTAACATACCTACTATATTTTGCCCATGGAGATTTTGTAATATGTAATTGGGCTCTGCCCGGAAATAAATAAATAAATATTATCTGCCATCTGTTTTTGACCACTAACAAAAATTTGTATAACATCTTGCCAGACGTTTCTTGGATAAAGTGATAACTTATCTCAATATAATGATTTGACCTCTCATGAAATTCTGGATTTTTAGCCAATTGTCAATCGGCAAGGTTGCTAAGCTGCAGCATTTCTTAACAAACGTGCTAATCCTATAATTTCTTTAATTACTACTGTCCCATGTACACTTCTTCGTTCTTCTTGAAGTTTTCATGTGGGATTGCAAGAGTTCCAACTTTTCAGATGCTGCAATACTGTGTCAGACCTTGCAACTCGGCTCAGAGTTTCTTCATAATACGCACTTAATTTATGTGTAGGTCCCTTAGCTAGTTGTCTTGAATCGTTCTAGAGTTCCATCTACTTTGATTCTAACTCTGGGAACCCTTGGCTTTCGTTTCTCAAGTATCTTTTTCAACTTGTCCTCTTGCTCTAAGACTTTTTCTCCCTGTCTTTCTTCTTCTTCGAATTGAAAGTCAGAGTCTCGTTTTGTTACATAGTGTAATACTGTGTACCTCTAACTACTAACTAGTAAAACTAATTTTCCTGATTTCAATATGAGATCTCGAAAGAGTAGAGCATTGTTTTTTTTTTGGAATCCACGATCCAGCCATGCAGTCTTTATCGCTCTTTTTGAACCATTTACAAGTTGTAGTGTGTGAAACACGCACCAACATTCAGCAGCATAAGCGAATATTGAAGTCGATGTGAACGCTTCGCCACAAGAAGTTGCACTTAGTTTATTTTGCATGCATGAAAATTCTGATTTCCGAATGAGGGTGTCTATTTTTCTTAGTAAAAGTTCCATATCAGTACTAGAAATTAGGCATGCAAAGAAAGTTTTTTGAACTGCCATCTGTTTGAAGGTCTCTCCAAAGATTCTCTTTCTGCAAATGTTTTAAAGAAATACTTTCCTGCTTGTATTTTTCGATTTTTTAAACTTGGAAAATAACAAAATAAACCGCGGCTGCGATAAACACCTCATTTTCGTCCCACAACAACTGAATTTTTTTATGTATATTTTTTCAAGTGAATATTGTTATAAGAAAATAAAGCTATTTTTGACTTTGAATGTTTGCGTGTGTTGCGCCTATGTGTAGACAATGTTCAATACGGTTGTTGTATATTCAAAAGACACCATCGAACAAAATGTTGTTCTAGTAGAGACACTTTGTTGGCCAAAGCTGTTCAATCCATTTTTGAATGTCCAACAAAATTGAGCAACATAAAGCCATGTCCACACCAAAGAAACGCATAGGAACATTTTGTTGCTGGTTGCCGCCCTTTATGGAAACAGAAACAAGAGCGAAAGTTCCGTAAACATTCTGTCCACACCATGGTTATTCATTTTTGTGAATGTCGCGTTGTGTTGCTGCAATAGTAAACGCTGTATCTAAGTGTCTACACCAGCAGTGTTTATTCCTAGTTTCGAAACAATATAGTGCGACGACGATATATACAGACACATAATGGCTAAGTTTCGAGTTTTGGGAACAAGCAACAACGTGTCCACAATAATAAAAATAAAGTTGAAAAACAAAAAATGTTTACCAATGTGTCTCTGTTTCCTTTGATCTTTGTTGCTAAATATGGAAACAAGCAACTTATAGGAACTTCTGTTGCTGCAACCGTAAACAATAAAGAACTTCAATAAACTTTTGTAAACATGCAGGAAAAAGTTCCAGAACAGTGATGCCAAGTCTAGTGAAATTTCACCAGATCTGGTGATTTTATGAAAACTTTTTTGAAGAATGGCAATTTCTGGTGATTTTGAAATTTCATCAATAGGCTCGTACAGTATATTTTTTTTATTACATATTCTAAAAGAGCGTATTGAATTTAGCAGTTGTGCAAAATTTCATAATTTTCCGAGCACTTGTTCATATTTAAATAAATTATCAAAACGCTTCAAATTTGAAACACGCGGTGACGTCACTGCATCTCTCACGTTGGTCAAGGTGGTACAGGTACGCACCTGGTACGCCCGTCACTACGACATTACGGGCATTGTTTTGACAAGTTTTAGTTTGGCATTTTGGGTAGAACTGGATGTGTTCGATGTTTTTCTTTCGAATTTAATAATGTATATTTAATTAATTCCCTGACTTTCAATGTTTTATGAGCACAATTATGGAAATAGCATGCAAACAGTAAAATTATAGATAATTCCGCGAAGTCGGAAACTGTGTCCCAGTTGACATTGCGTTATGCAAAACCGTGTGTGACGGCCTTTAGCCTGTCTCGACTCGAGGGATGACCTCATACCATCTCTCAGCGATGAATTTCTGAGGCATAATGTTTTAATATTCAAAGACGCATAACTTTTTTAATATTTATCCAATTGAGCTGAAATTTTTTTTGGGTGCTATATGTGAGTAATACTCCATAAAAATATGAAAAACCGTGGTTAATGAAACTTCACTGAACGACCCTATTTTCATTTGTTTAACAGAAAACCAAATAACCATAAGTGGTGTATGAGGTCCTCTGATTTTTATATAAATTTGTGTTTGTTCTTTTAATATATTTCTATATGTTTGCCTTTTTATATTTCAATTTCTGTTTATTCCAGGCTCTTATTGCTATTGGCCGGTTATTTTTCAAGCTGGCAACATGTATTTTGTTTGGCCAGTGGCGTTGCTTATGGGGGGTTTCAGTCAAACCAATCGAAAACTCGAAATTTTTATTTTCCATATTTTCGAAATTTTGACTTTTCCAATTGATTCAGCGGGTTTAAATTAATCGAAAAAACTTCTAACATCACTTTCAAAATGGCGATTTCAAAAAGCTAAAAAATCTCAATTTTCGTTCTGGAAATTTTTTCAAATCTTGACAAGGTTAGGAATAATTAATGGCCAATATCTTCAAAGAAATTTGAACAAATCAAAACAATTTATATATGGTTAGAAAGAGCATTAAATTCACTATTAATCCATGCTAAATTGTTTCTGATAACTCGAATACTTTCTGGGCAATTGGATCTCAAAGTAAACTTTTAGTCCAAATTTTATCAAAAATTTCAAACTCGATTTTATCGAAGACCATAAGAGCTAGCGATTTTAACTAAATCCCATTTTAAAGCCCTTATCAAGAGTTACATTTCTTGAAAATTTTAATTCAAAATCTTTAAATAGATTTTAAAATATCCAAGATC